TTAGATTATGGGATTGATATGAAATAATTTGAAAGGCCCTATTATCTACAAAAAAGAGAATTGAAAGTTATGACCTTGTTAAATTACGCAAAAAACCAACACGTACAGATCAGACGGTCATTGTTATATAATTGTCGCATTTATTATTTCGCTTTACTGTAGATTTTATATAAAACATTGACGTCCTTTAACAAAATTTAATTTTTTTTATATCAACTTTTAATGAAGGCAATAATTGATTCTTCTTTCTTGTAATATATTTCTATGTCTTAATCAGAAATGCAACGGGATAGTGTGGCTGCCCTATTTTGACCAAAAGTTTTTTTCTACGCCTTCCAATTTAATATCAGTCTTATTTTATAAGTGGTTACTATAGAAAGTATAGTAATAGATATAGTTATAGTGTACATGCAGTATCGCTTTTCTCCTCGAATCTTCTTTTAAGATTTATTTTAAACAGGTGTTACCTGATGAGCTACCGAAGTTTGTTGATGCATGACTTTGTCTTTTTTTATTATTATACTTTTCAGTGATTAGATATACAAATTTGCGGGAATTCGTATGATTTTTATGATGTTTACGAAAAATTCCGAATAGAAACGAGAAACCGGACAGGGTTTTTTGTACGCCATGTAAAGGTCTTGCAGTCGTACTGACCCAAACCGACCTTTCATTTTAAGTTATATTGATTAGCAATTAAAAACCGGAAATCATACCACATCTCCTTATTTTTATAATGAAACATAAATTCTCTGTCTGTGGTGACTTTTATCTTAAGTTGAATGGAATAGATTTGATCAACATATATTGTGAAGTTGATGGGTTGGAGTTGCGCAATCTTTGGTTTTCTGCGTAGTGGTAAGATGACAGTTGACTCGTTTTGTTCGTTGAGTTCTTAGTGTTTTTGTCAACATCGGAATTTTTACTATTGGTATATTCTGTCTGATATTCACAAATTACGAAGTGATTTCATCCCTCTTATATCTAGAGCATAATTCAACGTTTCGAATATCTTAAATTGATATGTTGGCTACAGAGTTATTATACAATATAAATAAGAAGATGTGGTATGAGTGCCAATGAAACATTATTAATAAGATAGCCTTTACTAATAAGCTTGTTTAAAGGGTCGATGAATTTACAAGGATCACATAAAATTTAGTAAATGTTTTGCATTATTGTCACTTTTTGTCTTGTACATGTAGGTTGAATGAAAATCAATAATTCTAGTCTTAGTCGAATAATGTTTGATCAATCAGGTATATAAACTTGAGAATTAAGAAATGGTCATCCTATGACTTTGCCTTAAAATAGATTTGCGGAACTATTTATAAACCTTTCCAATACAGTCAATAAATGACCACAATATTATACAGTTATAGCCTTTGTATAACCATGTAAGACGTATATCGACTGTAGACCTACTTTTTTAGATCGACATATCCTCGTATCGACCTCATCAAAAGGCTATAATTGTTATAATATTATTGTCAATATGTCTTAAATAAAGCAGAAATTCACTTGATTGGTTGTTATGATTGTGTCACAAAGAATTGAGGTTTTAGATTTCTATTTTTACATCTATCAAAAATAACTGTGCAATATCACTTTTCTATCTGCTGTTTTCAGTCTACCTTTGAAAAATAAAGTTGAACATGTAACTCGTTCTAAACTATTCACATTGGCTTGATATCATACAAAATAATAATATACATGTATATTCTATTACTAAAAGCATAAATTGTTTGAATATCTTACTAAGGCCAGTCTGTACAGATGTAAGCACAGTCGTTTGTACTATAAGAATTGAAGTAAATGTTCCAATTTCAGAAAATTTCGCTATTCTCAGATTCTGAATTTATTGATTTGGCTAATTGCATTCAACTATTTTACTCACTGATCAGATTTTGAATAGATATGGATTGAGTGTCAAAACGTAGAAAAAAGGCATTTAAAACTACAACACTTTTCGAAGGTCAATATGAAAACAACATTATAATTTTCATTGGCTTAACGAAACGTAGGTCATTCACAAAATACATTACACTTATAAACTGAATGAATCTGACATTATAGAAACATTAAATAACAGGTTTAACCTAGCAGTAATATCTTAACTAGAAAATTTCATAAATGATAAACCTATTGAAAAATGACAAAAGACAATTCTTGGTAGTGATGAGAACCTCACCCATGCTATTACAAAATCGTCCGTCAATCAAACTTTAGTTTGACATCTTTGAATATTGTTTTTAAAACAACTATGTTTAAACAGGAGGAAAACAATTGAAATGAAAAATACCTCACTCCTGTATTAAGGAATTATAAATTGTCCTCTAACTCACGCGTTCCTGTGTCAATCATTTTAGTGTATGATGAAAATTATTTCCCTCAGTCTATATATATATATTTCTAAATAATAGACAAACATGGATTTCATTATGTGAATGTGAAAAAATCAATTGTAAACAAATACGGACCCACGTGTACTGACCTTTCTACGTGTATAAGTAAACTAAATTACACGAATACAAATAACGGAAAACAAACATTTAGATCATTGCTTAAAAGTATACAATACTACCATCATGACTACCCATCTTAAAACAATGAATTTTACGTCGGATCAAAAATACCGGTTTTCTGCCTTACTCCTTGTAGACATAGGTTAATTAAGTCAAATCTGGCACATTTTTGTTTTGAATTTTTTGTTTCAATTCTCCTAAAATTCGTTATTAATTTCTGTTTTTAAATTAGTTTGATGCGACCGACACTTACAAGTCTAGAAGATTTTATGACGTATCTAATTGTCATATATCTGACATATCTAAATACTGTGACAATGAATAATCAATAAAAAGACTTTTGCTTAAAAAATGTCAAAAATTTGACATTTTCAAATGCTAAAACATGAACCGTGTCAAGCTGTCAAAATGTTAACAAGTCAAAACATTCAATTACCTAAGTATTTTAACTCAATTAGTGATGAAGTATACGGATGGAATATTTTGAATATGATTAGAGGTTATATACATGTGTTATGTTTTTTAACAATAAAAAAGTAAAACATCATACGATTGAAAATTTTCAGAATTTCTTTCTTTGCTTGTTTTTATTGAGACTATTTTAAAGAAGAGTCATAGTTTATATATACATATAGCCGGCAGAGATTTGATTCATACCCATTATATCTAGTGGAATCTAAAAAACTAAAACACCGCAAGTAGTTTTATTAAAAGTATTTGTACATGTAGCTAAAAGAAAGATAAGTGACTGTTATAGTAATAAATCCATTAATAGGTTTTGTGCTATCATAAATCAATTGTGTAATAACTTAGCCGTAAAATAGTATACTACCGACGAAACAAAACAGTTTTCGTATTTAAAGTAACAACTGCAAACATGGGTGCAAATATTTACCTTCTAAACAATTGTGTTTTCCGCGACTTTAAGATGAAAATAACAATAAAACATTGATTTAAAATCATTTTCATTACCAATGCAAATATGTTTTACGCTTGCTTGGAATTTTTTTGTTTTTGTTTTTTTTTTTATACTAAGTAAGTATTCCTTTTCAAAAGATCCATACAATGTGGAAAATTATTTAAAAGAATGATATATCATGTAAACATCTATTCTACGTTTAAATGCAATGCTATATACCAGAACATTTCTGAACTTTCATTTACAAGTGATGCAAATGATCAGTAATGAAAAGTAAAATAACAAAAAGAGCAAACTCCAAGAAAAATTCAAAACGGAAAGTCACTTATCAAATGGAAAAATCCAAAAGCTCAAACACATCAAAATAATGGAAACAACTGTCATATTCCTGACTTGGAACAGGCATTTCTTTATGTAGAAAATGGTGAATAGAACCTGTTAAATCCCTCACTTGTATGACAGTCGTAAAGAACTATTGAGTGTGGGTAGTTTTGAGATAAAAAAAATATATCTTCAGTTTTGTTTTCTTCGTTGGTTTCTTTGTTTATCTATAAAAATCTTATTATGGTACTGTTATTATGAAAACAGGAGATGTGGTGTATACGCCACCGAAACAGCAACCGACCAAGAACAAAAATTTTAAAACTAAAGACAAACATTGTTGTTGGTGGAAGATAGATGATAATAGTGTGGCTTTTGTATGCAAGAAAGTTCATCATCAACTCGTACAGTCGACCATAAAGTTTTATCATTTGCAAGTTCATAGAATTTAGAGAATTGATTATGCTTGTAATCCGAACAACGGTAATACTATAACTACTACTTATACCCTGCAATGAAGATCAACGGTCACCAGTAGATATTCACTCCATTGATTATGTTTTCTTACACTTTCTTTGTAAATAAATGACAATCCAATCTCATTTAAGATCCATTTAGATCTACAATGGTCGATGGTGATCACGAATAGTGTGCAAGAAAGCATGATTTCAGCAGCAACAATAAACAGATCAAGTACGTTGACTTGAATTTAGTATATGCGGGCACTCTTGTTATACAATATTTTATAGAAACATTTTTTTCTACTTATTGTCTGGTTTTATTTATTTGAGTTTTTATATGTATCTTTTACACTTTACTTGATCAAAAAAATACAGTTTTTTCAGAACATTTTAAAGCCCGCTATATATGTGTCTGCCTTCTACAATAATATGATTTCTCCTTAGCTTTTTGAATATTGATAGGGAAGTTGCAGGTTCGTTGTCGTCGTTTAAACCTGATCAATACATCGTCAAAAGGAACAATTTTATACTTGCTAATATACTTATAAACTATAAAACAAAAATTATATAAGTTCCATAAAGCTATGGAAATCAACATTGTATAGTTATATAAACGACAATATTTGTAAATAAACAAATGAATAAGGATGACAAAATCTTTTGGGAATATTTGCTCTCTTCTCCAAAGATTATCAATTTTGAATATTTTATAAGTACGTGATAAAGCAGAAGACAATAATTGAGAGAGTTAGTATACAACGAGACGAAACTTACCAAAACTTTGCTGTTGATACATAAAATCAAAACGAGAATAATGTTTAATCTTTGATCTGTAGGCATTTTTATGCACTGCCGGTTTGTTTAGTTATTAAAATACTAAGACGCCGTATTCCATCTATTTTATACCAAGTCGATTTCATGTAAATTTTTCAAGTCAATAGTTGTTTCATCTAGATTGGTTCGAATAGAAAATCCAAAACTGTAACTGAAAAAAGAAGGCGGTATTTAATTTTTATAACTCATTAAAACACTTTTTTTCATTTTTACGTAATAATGTTAACATATAAGATTGTTTTTACAATATATTTTTGAAAACCATTCTAATAAAAACTGTTAATTCATCTTCTCGAATAAATGAAAGTTAAAAGTTTCGAGTTATTTTCTCAAATATTTGATATTTGCATTTATGAATAGATGTATCTTTTCTATATATATATAGTTGTTTCAACACGATCTTTAAATATTTTTTAGCATATACATTTTCTGAATTATATATGTACACATAAGTCATTCGAAATACGTGTAATGATAGCGGCAGATACCAAACAAAAATAATCTATTACAGATATAGATGACATCGAACATGTAGAGTAACATAATTTATCGACATCAGTAAAAAGTAAAATCACAAAAATACTGAACTCCGAGGAAAATTCAAAAAGGAAAGTCCCCAATCAAATGGCAAAATCAAAAGTTCAAACACATCAAACGAATGAATAACAACTGTCATATTCCTGACTTGGTACAGGCATTTTCCTATGTAGAAAATGGTGGATTGAACCTGGTTTTAAAGCTAGCTAAACCTCTCACTTGTATGACAGTCGCATCAAATTCCATTATATTGACAACGATGTGTGAACAAAATAAACAAAAACAATAGGTGAAAATGTCACAAATAGGGTTAAATAGTCTAATTCGGTAGGTCAAATTCGTGATAAGGGAACGGGATTGTAGTTACGACATAAGGAACATATCCGATATCATCTGTGAAACGGATATTCCATAACGGTCAACCAACTCGTGATGGCGTCCGTAAAATTTACAAAGTGATGATTTCAACTTCACCATTTGGAACTCTTGGTTTAAAAATGAAAATTCACAATTGGGAAGCTGAAATCATCTCTTTTGTCGTAAAGTTTTGTTTTCAACCGACCCTCATAGTCAATTTCTAGATATAAGTCATAATCAAATGGCAAAATCAAAAGCTCAAACACATCAAACGAATGGATAACAACTGTCATATTCCTGACTTGGTACAGGCATTTTCTTATGTAGAAAATGGTGGATTGAACCTGGTTTTGTAGCTAGCTAAACCTCTCACTTGTATGACAGTCGCATCAAATTCCATTATATTGACAACGATGCATGAACAAAACTAACAAACACAATAGGTGAAAATGTCAAAAATAGGGGTACAGCAGTCAACATTGTGTTATCAACTTAATCACTGTAAAAACAAACAAATGTAACGAAGAAGCACAAAAAGGCATACATCAAATTTAACATCCTCATTTTGCTTATATTATACGATTTTATTTATCTATGTAAAATCCATCCATAAAGGATGGAAGGTTTTAAGTACTGGCGTAAAATCGCGCGTTTGAAATTCGCACAGGTAGACATTAAATAGTTTTGTCGTTCAAAGTATGAAGGGATACATAAGTACAGAGTAACGTCAAATGTATATCACAAAAAACAGACTTAACAGTAAAAGTAATATTAATAAATAAAATAATTTTGTCGTTCAAAGTATGACGGGATACATAAGCACAGAGTCACGTCAAATGGATATCGTGTATTATTTGTGAAGTTGATACGGAATATTTATCAACAAGTTCTTGGTACCTTCCGATTAACTTTTTTAGAAAAAGGACAAGACGCTCTTTGACATACCCCTGGTTCATCAACTTTTTGCTCAGACACTGGTGACGTTTTACAAAGTCTGCGTAGGAGCTGCAAGCTCTTGAATACCGAATAAGTTGGGAAATGTATATCCCATATGCAGGTAAAGTTGTTATATTGCTACTAAGGTGGGGGAAATTGATAATTTCAAAATTAAAATCGTCTCGTTTGTCATAGATTCTGGTACTGAGATGACTGTGTATGTCAAATTCGAGGTATAAGTCTAAAAATGAGGCGGAGGAAGCCGTGTCTGTTGCCTCTTTAATTTCTAGTTCTGGGGGATATATTAATGGAACCCAATCAGAAAAGTTCGGATTGTTAACAGACACGCTAAGTATCACCTTCCTGATGAACATGTTCCTCAAGGAACTGAATTATTGCCTGTTGCATCTATACATGATCTCCTAATGTAACACTTTATGGTAAATTGACGTATGCGTGTGACGTCATAAAACAGTTTCGAGTTCCTTTTGAAGAATAAGTTTCGCCAATTTCGTCATTGAGAAATTGACTCTTACATTGACGTAATAACAAAAGCATTGTGACATTTGAATTATACGGGATAATGCACGATGGGAAAGTCGTCTATGGTAGTTATCGTGAGGGTACAAAATTATCACCTATTTTGACATATTTATTTTTGCTTTCATTTATTTAGAAAACAGGCAAAAGTTTCCATTCTGTATTTATTTGGTAGATCTGACCTGCTTTAGTATATATTTCAACAAATTGAATTTTGAATCCATACTAAATCATAGAAATGGGTTTGAACCGATCTCCAAACGAAACAAGATTCTATATTGAGGAATACAAATTTATTGAAACCATGCTTTACTACATATATCCTTAAAAAAATGCATAACTGGTGTTTTGTTTTTATTATTCACATGTTTTAAACAATTTGAAAATAGTCCATGCATTTATTATACAAGGTATATTTTAATTTCTCATCTTTTGAAAGTTGATTTTTGTAGACGCCGAAAGCAACGTTTCCGTAAATATTACTTTTTTTCACTTGACTTCTCGTCTGTTGATATATAATGTAACCGTTTTGTGTATACTTAGGAATATTTAGATATGTAAAAAGACGTGCATAATGATATTTGATAGATACGAATTGTTTAGTCTCTAAGAAACCGTATCATATATCCGTAGCTTTTTGTGCGAAACGGGTGCAATTTGGGTACTATTACATTATATTTATACTTGAAAACACACTCTTTTTCATATAAATCTTACGATAAAAAAAACTCGTAATAGGTATAAATATTTCTTTATAATTCACGATCAAGTTTAGGAATATTATTTTATGGCAGAAGTTTCTAATATAAAAATCGATCTAAACAAGAAAATATTTCCTGAATAGTGCATTTCAAATCCGGAAACCGTAACGACGGACTAGATGTGATAAGGGTACAATTCGACCCCTATATCAAGTCAATCTTTTCAATTGTGGCGTGCTCGTCTTCTACATGCGTGAGTGGTCGTGGCTTTAGCCCTAATCCCGGTCCAACCGAAAACCTGAAAGATTTTATCATTGCTGTTATGTGTTTTATGTGAACCGTGTACAGAATAATTAATTTGAGGGTACTAAGAAGAAAAATGTATAGATTTTGATTTTTTACCTAATTCTAATATTAAAGGGGTATTTTGGCAAAATTTAGCAATTAAAAATACAAAAATTTCGTTTAACGTCAACGTTGCGAATCAATTCAGACGTATGGTCTAAACTACTGTCAAAGTAACTTCACAAGGCTGTAAAACTAATATTTATAAGTTTTACCTTAATTTTCAGACCCGTTCGAAACCCCTTTACCCCTTGAAATTGTCTAATTATGTATAATACTATGAATCAAAAAAAATACTTATTCATTTTTATATTGGATTAGAGGTTGTCAAATCTTTCAAGTCAAAACATTTCATATTGTATTAATTTTATTGTTTAAGGATGTCATACAAAAGTTATTTAAAATTAAGTTTTCATATAATCAGTTTTAATAAAACATATGTTATAATACAAATAATGTTATAAGGTCATGTGGAGTCATTGTAATAACATTATATGTGCCATGAACGTATGGGTACGTGCTGGTTTCTTCGTGAACATTTGTCGATTTTACATCAATCTTTCAGTTTTTAAGTTTTTGTTCTTTCCATTCACCCCATGGTTCCACTTGCCACTTTCAACTTTTTGCAGTCATAATTATTGTCTAGAAATTTATTCAAACCAGAAACAATTGCTAAATGTTCTCAGGCATAGTTTGTTCTTATGTCTTACAGTTACATCACTGTCCCAGATAAGGGGGAGGGTTTGGCGCCAAAAAACTAGTTCAAACCCGCTGCATTTGTATGCACCTGTTCTAAGTCAGGAGCATATTGTTCAGTGGTTGTCGTTTGTTGGTGTGGCTCATAAGTGTTTCTCGTTTCTCGTTTTTTATTATAGATAAGACCGTTGGATTTCCTGTTTGAATTGTTTTACACTAGTCATTTTGGGGCCCTTTATAGCTTGCTGTTCGGTGTGAGCCAAGGCTCCGTGTTGAATGCCGTACTTTGACCTATAATTGTTTACTTTTTATACATTGTGACTTGGATGAAAAGTTGTCTCATTGGCACTCATCCACATCTTCTTATTTATATTGATTCTGATATTGAAAAAAGAGAAGAAATAGGCATGTTGAAAATATGTGAAATGACTGATCAGAACTTTAATTATCAGGACAGATCTAAACATAAAATTTTAAGAGTTTTTGTATCTGGCCGAATAATAGAATAATATACGGAAAGACCCTTAGCTCATTTATAAAATTTCACGATTAGTATTTGTATATAAAACGTAAAATAACAAAAATACCGAACTTCAAGGAAAATTCAAATCGAAAAGTTTTAAGTAAAACAAACCGAGTCTAGAAATTAGGGTTAAGTCATATTGCACGTGACCTGTGCCATTAATAATTTGCAATGGAGCTGTTATGTCGATTCTATTTAGACTAACTTAGACTAACCACCGCCGTTCCTACCACAACCATTGTTTTCATTATATTTAGAAATGTATAATGTACTATTCCCAGGCTTGGGAATTAATCAATCACGACTATTCAATAACTGTGACAACAACTGAGACGGCTAAACGCCAAATGATGTTTATTTCATTGTGTGTACATGTATATCATGTAGTATGTATCTTAGTTTTAATTATATCTTGATAAATATGTATTCTATGTTTTGTTGTGTATAAAATAATAAAACACTCGTGTTATGTTTGACTTTAATATTAATCTCTATCTATAAGCATCAAATCAATTAATAACAAGTATCGAGTATCCCCCTTGGCTTATAAGGATTTTGCATTCACTCAAAGTTTCACCTTGTCGCAAAGACATCATATACATGAAACTTCTGACAAAAAGCATTCATCATTCCTTCTATGTTATACTTAGATAGTATCATGTTTTATAAGGTATTGACCAATAACCTCCCTGTCTAGGACAGGAGAAAAAGACAGTGTTCAAGACTAATCAATAATTGCATATTGTTACAAATCAAGTCTTCAAACACACACTGTCATCAATTGCCCGCTACAGAGCAGTGATAGTATCCTGATTACTATTAAACACACATAAAAAAGATACCAAAAATCACTAAATCTGTTGAACAATAGAAAAAACCGACCCAAAAACAGATGTATAAACCACAACGAACATCACATCAACCTCAGATTGCCTGACGCGGCAAAGATACAACATATGGTGGAGCAATACATATATACAAACAACAACGAAAAACACATCCACCTCAGATAGTCTGACGCGGCAAAGGTATTAGATATGGTGGAGCAAGACATATATACAAAAAAAAATAAATAACACATCCACCTCAGATATCCTGAAGCGCCAAAGGTACAACATATGGTGCAGCAAGACATATATACAAACAAGAACGAATAACTCACCCACCTCAGATGGCCTGACACGGCAAAGGTACAACATATGGTGGAGCAAGACATATATACAAACAACAACAAATAACACATCCACCTCAGATAACCTGACGAGGCAAAAGTACAATATATGGAGGAGCAAGACATATATACAAACAACAACGAATAACTCACCCACCTCAGATAGCCTGACGCGCCAAAGGTACAACATTTGGTGGAGCAAGACATATATACAAAGAACAACGAATAACACACCCACCTCAGATAGCCTGACACGGCAAAGGTACAACATATGGTGGAGCAAGACATATATTCAAACAACAACGAATAACTCACCCACCTCAGATAGCCTGACACGGCAAAGGTACAACATATGGTGGAGCAAGACATATATACAAACAACAACAAATAACACATCCACCTCAGATAACCTGACGAGGCAAAAGTACAATATATGGAGGAGCAAGACATATATACAAACAACAACGAATAACTCACCCACCTCAGATAGCCTGACGCGCCAAAGGTACAACATTTGGTGGAGCAAGACATATATACAAAGAACAACGAATAACACACCCACCTCAGATAGCCTGACACGGCAAAGGTACAACATATGGTAGAGCAAGACATATATTCAAACAACAACGAATAACACATCCACCTCAGATAGTCTGACGCGGCAAAGGTATAAGATTTGGTGGAGCAAGACATATATACAAACAAAAATAAATAACACATCCACCTCACATATCCTGAAGCGCCAAAGGTACAACATATGGTGGAGCAAGACATATATTCAAACAACAAAGAATAACACATCCACCTCAGATAGCCTGACGCGCCAAAGGTACAACATATGGTGGAGCAAGACCAATATACAAACAACAACGAATAACACACCCACCTCAGATAGCCTGACGAGCCAAAGGTACAACATTTGGTGGAGCAAGACATATATACAAAGAACAATGAATAACACACCCACCTCAGATAGCCTGACACGGCAAAGGTACAACATATGGTGGAGCAAGACATATATACAAACAACGACGAATAACATACCCACCTCAGATAGCCTGACGCGGCAAAGGTACAACTTATGGAGGAGCAAGAAAGATGTACAAATAACAAAGAATAACACATCCACTTCAGACAGCCTGACGCGCCAAAGGTACAACATATGGTGGAGCAAGACATATATTCAAACAACAAAGAATAACACATCCACCTCAGATAGCCTGACGCGCCAAAGGTACAACATATGGTGGAGCAAGACCAATATACAAATAACAACGAATAACACACCCACCTCAGATAGCCTGACGAGCCAAAGGTACAACATTTGGTGGAGCAAGACATATATACAAAGAACAACGAATAACACATCTATGATAAGTTTATTTACAACCACTGGGTCTATGTCACTGCTGGTAGAGTTTTTCTTCCCGATAATATCACCAGCCCATTAGTCAGCACTACTGTGTTGATATGAATTATCATTGATATAGTCATAATTATAAATTAACTATTAACAGTACTTTGGTTTTTTGAAATACTAGGGATTTTCTACCCCAGGAATAGATTACCTAAGCTGTATTCGGCAAAACGTTAAGGAATTTCGGGTCAGTGCCCTTCAACTTCGCACATTATTTTGCCTTTTTAACTTTTCTTCATTCAAGCGTCACTGATGGGTGTTTTGTAGACGAAACAGGTGTCTGGCGTACAAAATTTCAATCCTGGTATCTATGATGAGCTTATTTACAACTCAATAAAAAAAATGCATTATTACTTTGTAAATTGTGTGTGCATCACTAAATGCAGTAATGTTCAGTTAACTGCTAGTGTTTCTGTTTATTTAATTTTTTTTTTATCGAAACCAATCTTTTGAGCATGTTTAAAAAAAATTAAGGTGACCTTACCTTGAATTCAAAAATGTAAACCATTACTTTAGGTGTAAAACTGTAAATATCGTATGTTTTTTTTTTTTTACTTGCTTCTGTTTCGTTATGCACCATTTCAGAGACAAAGAAGTTGTGAAATGTCTATCATCTCTTCACTATAAATATGTTGTTGTTCCTGCGGACAAAGCTTCAAATAATATTGTTTTTGTATGTAAATCGTACTTCTATGAGTGTTTTGTAATTGAATTAGGGATAGATAAGCACTCAGGTAATCCCACATACAAAAACATTTCATTTGACAAGGATGAGATTTTGGTGAATCATAAGTCGTTCATGGCTTCAATGAACATTACATTGAACAGCAAATCTAAGGGCTTACCTTGTTTGTATTGGATACCTAAGCTTCACAAAATTCCGTACAAACAAATGGTACATTGCTGGCTCATCTGCATGTTCTACAAAGGAATTGTCCATTAGATTGACAAAAATTCTGGCCGCAGTGAAAGAGGGTCTTCAGAAATACTGTGAAACTATTTACTCGCGTAGTGGTATTAACCATATGTGGATTCTAAAAAACTCTAAAGAACTCCTTGATAATTTTAAATCTCGATCTTTCTCTGAAATTAATTCAATCAAAACTTTTGATTTTTCAACCCTGTATACCACTTTTCCCCAAATTTAAAAATCGTCTAAAAGAAATAATCCACAATGCTTTTCAATATAAAAATGGCAGCATACGCTATACAGTTATTGCTATGGGATAACATACTGCATATTTTGTTAATAGTGAACAAAAAGGTAAAACATGCTACACAGAGGAACAAGTGATCAGTTTGCTGGCGTTTCTCATTGACAACATATTTGTTGAATTTGGAGGTAGACGTTTTCAGCAAGTTGTCGACATTCCTATGGGAACGAACTGTGCACCTCTACTTGCCGACCTCTTCTTATTTTCATATGAGTCGGAGTTCCTTCAGACACTTGTCGAGAACAAAAAAATCAAAGAAGCCCGATCATTTAATTTCACATTCAGATATATTGATGATGATCTTTCCATTAACATTATAAACTTTTCTGATTGGGTTCTATTAATACATCCACCAAAACTAGAAATTAAAGAAACAATAGACACGGCTTCCTCCGCCTCATTTTTAGACTTATACCTCAAATTTGACATAAGATAAGATAAGAGACACAACACAAGCTCTAAGGAGCTTTTGATCGAATATAAAAACATATACATAACATAACAACAGTTTAATTTGACATATAAAACAACCTGTAATACGAAGTTAAATCTCACTTACATAGCATGCAATAAAAATTTAGCAACAAATTTAAAATGAAATAAAACATGCTAGACCAGAGCAACCATGCAAAAGCAACATAAATAATAAACATCTCAAGAATTATCTGCAAGCAGAACAGCGACATTCCAAACCGTTCCAGGACTGAACAAGACTTTTAAAATGTGAAAAACTATTTTCAGTCCTGAAATGGTTTGGAAGGCTGTTCCATAAAGTAGCGGCAGCAAATTTGAAAGATTTTTTACCGTAACGGGTTGACTTTACCTGTGGAACATCCAGAATATTTACATACCTGAAAGAATACTTAGATTTTTTGACACTCACCAAATTTTGTAAGCACACAGGAGCTATATTATTTATAATCTTAAAAGTTAACAGAAGCGGTCATAACAGTACCAGAATCTATGACAATTTTGAAATCATCAATTTCTTCCACCTTAGTAGCAATATACCTTGGGATATACATTTCCCAACTTATTCGGTATTCAAGAGCCTGCAGCTGCTACTCAGACTTTATAAAACGTCACCAGTGTCTGAGCAAAAAGTTGTAAAACCAGGGTTATGTCAAAGAATGTCTCGTCTTTTTTCTAAAAAAGTTCATTGGAAGATACCAAAACCTTGTTGATAAATATTCCGTTTCAACTTCACAAATATTACATGAAGGTCTTGAAATATAGATTCTAGGTACTGACTTTGTTTATCACCTTAATTACGTGTTATATTGTTTTTTTATTTGTCTTTGTAAATTATCAACCTTTACTGTTTAGTCCATTTTTTGTCATATCCTCGGTACTTATACATCCCGCCATTGCGTTATTGTGCTATGATCATTTTTTATTTTCTTGTCCTTCATCTTGCTTACTTCTATATGCCATTTTGTTTTTCTTTGTTGACATATTTGTTTGTTTTTATATTGATTAGGATTATAACACAACGTTGACTGCTGTACCCCTATTTTTGACATTTTTACCTATTATGTCTGTTTTTTTTGTTCACACATTGTTGTCAATATAATTGAATTTTATGCAACTGTCATACAAGTGTGAGGTTTAGCTAGCTTTTAAAACTAGGTTTAATCCACCTTTTCTACATAAGAAAATGCCTGTTCCAAGTCAGGAATAAGACAGTTGTTTTCCATTTTGCCATTTGATAAGGGACTTTCCGTTTTGAATTTTCCTTGGAGTTTGGTAATTTTGTTATTTTACTTTTTCATATGTGCATTTTCATAGTATATTTTGCCGTATATATTACCAAACCCACACACATACATATATAAATAAGATATCTTGTATTGGTGTGTTGATTTCGTTGGCGTGTTCTCCAATATCTCCGTTTATTCACCTATACCATGCATAATAAACATAAGTCAAACACCTGGTGTGGGATGCGGAATTTCATAAACATATCATTAGATTTAAAAGCGTGATCGTTACCATTATATGTTAATCCAATACTAATAGATTGACATCTATAAGTATGAGAATTTTAGATATTCACGTGGGAAAAGGAAACAAACAAAATTGTTTTAAAATGTTTTACAAAACAGAAATCTGATGTTTTATAAGTATAAACAAGTAATGCAAAATGACAGAAATGATATTTTGGGTATATGCAATATAAGTTTATGAAACGCTGATCCTGAAACACGTTGAAGAATAAAAAATCATACCTATAGCACCTTATTGGACACATAGGCGCTATAAAGAGGTAAAACAAAAGTACGTTCAACTCGTCGTCATGTATATAAAAAGATGTAGTAGGATTGCAAAATAAGACAGAGACTAAATGACGTAGAAGTTGACAATTAAAGGTCACCATACGGACTCAACAATGTGCAAAACCCATACTGCACAATTCCTTAGCAGTGATAAAGGCCAATTAGATAATAAAATGCTGACAGTAACAGTGGCAAAATGATCATTTCTTCAATTTTGTAAAAACATATTTTTATTCTTAAATATTTTTAATGCATGTTTCCATTCCTCGGTGTAAGCCAACATTAATGCTACATATATGTACATTCAACTCGCCATCATGTTCACCAAAAAAGATGAAGTATGATTGCCAATGAGATAGAGACTAATGACGTAGAAGTTAACAATTATAGGTCACCATAAACAATGTGCATAACCCATACCACACATTAAGTTATAACGGTCCCCGACATTTCCTTGAGGAAAGCCGAAAGCCAAAGGTCGAGAAGGCCATATGACGAATATATACGTAGGAATAAACAAATGTACACTACAGAAAGGTAATAATAGTTTAATCAAACCTAAGGTCAATGTTCAACTTTGCTCTATGGGATTGTTTCATTACTAGTACAATACATACTAGTAACTTTTATTTTTGGCAAATCTAATTTGTTTCTTTTCGACCTTGTTTTACAATGACCTTATTTTGTAAGGTATATTGTTTGATATAGTCAACATAAACTCAATAAACTGCTTTGTCTTTATAAACTTCTTACCTTCTTGTTTTATAATCAAGAAATTACACAATCATCGATTTATATATAAAACTTTGGATATACCAAATCACCTTATGCACAGTTCTTATAGGACATTTTCTGTAGGACAATCAAATGATATTTTAGCAAAATTAATTTAACTGCCTCTTGATTGGTTTAGTAATTTTCACAACTACTTATATTATAAACTCCAGTTAAATTAGCACTGAGAAACAAATACATCTAATAATATGAATATAAAACTGCACATTTAAATTTATAAAAACTGAATTTTGCAATGAAGAGAATCTTTTTAAATAACATCCTTTACATAAATATGGTTTTGCATTCCATCTTTTTCCTCATGTGAATAATCATTTTTTTTAAATTAACTATTGCATTTTTAAGCTTGCTAACTTCCGCATTTAAATGTTCTTTGACAGTAATTCGAGATTTTTATTGGATTCTTTTAACACTAAAGTAGTGGCTGATAATTTCTATAAGATATCATATAATTAAAGTCATCATTTTGGGACATGATCATTTATTTGCATAATAACTTTTTTATTGCTGTATAAGTTTCCATAATGGAATTTGATGCGACTGTCATACAAGTGAGAGGTTTAGCTAGCTTTAAAACCAGGTTCAATCCACCATTTTCTACATAAGAAAATGCCTGTACCAAGTCAGGAATATGACAGTTGTTATCCATTCGTTTGATGTGTTTGAACTTTTGATTTTGCCATTTGATTGGGGACTTTCCTTTTTGAATTTTCCTCGGAGTTCAGTATTTTTGTGATTTTACTTTTTTCCGTATTTTTTTTTTTTTGCACAAAAAAAACAAACTAAAAACATTAATGAATATTACTATGGTAAAATTTTCAACGATTTTCACTAATGTCGTTTAAAACGACAACATTTTAATGTACATATTTACAAGGTTATGAGTTCCGGTTTGGGAGACGGAAATTGCGATGAATTAATATATATCGAAGCATTTTTGTACTATTTGTAATCTATATAACAGTGCAACTTATTTTGAATAAATTAAAATGATACAATTAATAATTAGATATAGGAAGATGTGATATGAGTGCCAATGAGACGACTCTCCATCCAATAAGTCTGTAACTCAGTGAATGTCGATGGTTGCTGTGTCTGATTTTGGTTTATTATTTTGTCATAAATCAGGCTGTTGGTTTTGTTGTTTGCATTTTTCACATTTTGTCATTTCGAGGCATTTTATAGATAACTATACGCATGAGTTTTCTTCATTGTTGAAGGCAGGATGGTGGTTTTTTATTGTTTAAATCCACGTTATTTGACCATGTCGGATAGTTGTCTCTTTACCACCTCTCCTTATTTTAAATTCAGAATGAAGAGAACGACTAATCCTAATTGCTCTTAGTGTAAACTGATATTTATTTATTACTACTAGACACGTCGTGGACTCTTCCATTTACCAAAGGCAATGTAATATATTTGACAGTTGTTTTTGTCAGGTTCTATGTACTTCCCCCTTTTTGAATTCTTGAAGTCTAGTATTATTATAAATACATTTTCATGTTTCCTTAAAGGAACGATAATAAGTATTTCTGAAACTGTGTGTTTAAAATTTGATAGGCAAGGGCCATCTTGCAAGTTTCTACTATTGTTATCTGTCCCTCTGGTATCTTTTGTCCCTCTTTTATCTTTAGGAAAACAGTTGGGTTTTGTAGTAAACGAGCCATTTGAGATCTCAGCAGATTTTTTCTTATCTCGATTAGTGAATTTATTAAAGGTACAAATGACCTGATGCATCGTTTTCCTTATAAGTTCACAATTTCTAAAGCTATGTAAGATACAAATTGAAATTTATATAATAGTTCAACTCATTTTAAATCAAATGAAAAATAAAATTATGGGTGTACATTTCGACTTATTCTGATGATTTTAAATTGTTCTGTGATTAATGTTAATTCTATATATGAGCAACCCCATAATTTTCTTTATTCACGTGCGTTCATTAAAACAAATAAAATTTGCTATAAATATAGAAATTGTCATCATCAAACAAACTTACCATTAGTAAGTATGAATACACAAACGTAAATAGTCAGTTGTATTCAATATTTTACTTGACTGTAGGTCACAATATATCTCGTATTTTAAAATGTAACTTCCTCATTTATTGTGGTGAAATTATACACTGTTTCACTTCAATTGTCGCGTTCGATATAGTCTAGGGAGTTAAAAAATTTTCACACGAAAAACAAAAGTTGCGGCGTATTCGTCAATGCAACAAAACACTAAATGAAATTGATTTTCGATAATTTAACGATCATAAAAATAAAAGTAACCTATATTGTAATTATTGTTAATTGTAATTAAATATCATATTGTATATTTTTTATGAAAAAAAGAAAAATGTCTTAAGCGACAGCAATCAGTTAACAATAAACCAACCCATTTACGGCTAAGATCAGTGAAGATTCGTCTAAATTCCACGTACAAAATTTACTAACACTTAAATAAAGGCAACAGTAGTATACCGGTGTTCATTGATACTATTTTTGTTTTAAATAATTACGAATTCTCTGACTATACCAGTGAACTGACTAAAAAATTAATATGAATAACAGTCGTTATCTCGTTTTAATTTGGATATTTCAGTTTCACACGCGAAACTCTATACTAAAATTAACGACAGAAACCACGATTTTTCGTTTCCTATCTTTTATTTACCTTTGGACAATAATGTTTCTTTAGCCCTTTCTATGTACATATTTTCGCACTCTACCGCAATGACCTCTTCTTGTCTGTTATGACCGTAATATATGTACTACTTTAATTATAAGGAATGTTGTCTTGAGAAATCAATTAAAATGGTTACCTAGTGTAAATTCTTCCATACTAACAAAGATTCGGATTTTCCTTTTTAAACTTTAAAATAAACTGGATATGTCATTGAAAGTTTTACGGCGAGGTTGTTCATAGAGTTGGTATATTCAAGATACGATCCATATACACGGGTTTGTCCTTTGAATACACTGATTCCTTTCTAAAGATTCTCAATTAAACAATATAGTAAGATATTTGAATATTGTGTCTATCAGTACAAACATTGTTTCTCTAATTTAATATATAAACAAAGACGTATTACTATCAGATTATTAACTCAGAATAAAACTCAAATTACTTTATGCTCATAACAATTATACACATCATACACAATAATCACACAAAAAACAAAAAATAAAGGGATATAAATATCCCTAGAAAGTATTAACGCTTACATCCTGTCGACACATTTGTTTTGACTTTACACAAGGTTTTGCTTTTCTGTGGCTTCTAATGCTAAACACTCACTCCGTATGCTGTGTACTGATTGGTGTTTTACTTTGGAAAATATGGCTTATCTATTAGTTGAAAGAGATAAGGCTAATTTCCCCTGAATTTATTTCACACAAGGACTATTGTCTTTTTATCTTTAATGAAATTCACTGTATTATACAAGTTCTTTAAGTTTTAACAACATTTTGGCGTACATTATATTTTCAGACATTGTACATTTTGTAAATTGTAAATGCCTCAAAAGAACAATTTTGATCAATTTTGAGTATAATTAAACTTGTTTAATTAAAAAAAAAAAGGAATAGGAAGGACATTGTTATTCAAAATTCAAAATTGAGTAGAATGTATTTCTGTCTAGTATCTTTTGGATAAACATTAAGGGGACAATCATTTGATATTCCGGGGTGGAGGCGGGAAGGAGGGAGGGGTGGGTGCCAGGAGGATTTTTGCGGTTTAACTATTCATTTTCATTTGTAACTAATAAAATTAAGAATGGAAATGGGGAATGTGTCAAAGAGACAATAACCAGACCAAAGAGCAGAAAACAGAATAAGCATGCTTTTTGCTTATCTTTTTTTTAGTAGCTTCGCCGCAATTGTTTTCTGCATTTTGTGCTGCATGATATTAATTTGTTTGCAAGGACAATTTTGTCAGCTCTTACCTGGAGGCCGGATGATATTCTCGTTCAAATTTATCCTCCCAACCCCAGAAAAATCAATTATTCTTCCCCTAATGCATTTCGTAATGTTTTCAAATAAAGGCAAAAGTAGTATACCGCTGTTCAATAGTCAAAAATCGATTAAGCAAAAACAAATTTGGGTCACAAACCAAACCCGAGTGAAACACATCAACTATATGAGGAAAACAACGGAACAACAGAAATACAAAGCAGTACACCACGATAGAATTATAAACTGTACGTCACACGAATGTTACAACGCCACAAAAAGTGACGTCACAGGTAAATTTCTAAAAATAGAGTATGAAATTGGGATTAATTTTGTAATGGTGTTATTATGTATTTTCTAACCATTACAAGAATATCAATATAGAATTGTGTTAGTAATGGTGTAATTATTTGTATATTCTAACCATGTCGGGTTTTCTTCTAAATCAAAACTTTGTAAAAACAAATAAATCCTGTGCATATAGTTGCTTTCAACTAAAAATCAAATAAATGAACTAGCTGATTAATTATCTTAACTTTTACATACACATAGAAAATAAAAATAGAATTTAAACCACATATCAGACATAACACAATATCCAACAAGACTTACAAAAGAAGCATCAATACTAAATCGTAACTAAATACACGAATGTTTGATGTATAAATATCGAGACACGTATAATAGCAATGCGAATTCATACTCGGCAAAACAGTCATATTCGGGAATATGTCACGTTCGGTACTTAGCAGACCAGACGACGTAGATGGTAAACCATAATCTAAGACGTGGTAAACATGTCATTAGTTAGTTTAGACACAGACACATCGCATAGATCAACCAATTCATGATGGTGTCCATAAAATTTACGGAGTGTCATTTTTAATCTTTCCTCCTCATAACTCTGTTGGAGCAGTTTCTGCGTAAGAAGCACACTCCTGTATATGAAGTCCGTATAGTGTGAACATGCACGAGCATAACGTATCAACTGAGATATGTAAACACCATACGATGGAGCAGAGGGTATGTTACTGCTGAGAAATGGGAAATTGATAATTGGGAAGTTGAAATCGTCCCGTTTGTCATAGATTTTAGTGTGAAGTCGTCCATCTGTGTCAATATTGAGGAAAAGATCACGGTATGAAGCAGTCATTCTAGTATCAGTAGTATCCTTAATTTCAAGTTCACTAGGATATATGAGATGTAAGTACTGACTGAAATATGGTTATTCAGTGATAGGACATCATCAATATATCTTAAAGTAAAATTAAAGAATTTCGCAAGGTGCTTTTTCCTTTTGTCTTTTAGAAGGTTCTGAATGAATTCTGCTTCATACGAGTACAAAAACAAATAGGCCAGTAGGGGTGCACAATTAGTAACCATTGGAATACCGACTGTCTGTTGAAATATCAATCCTCCAAACTCAACAAATATGTTGTCGATCAAAACGTCCAGCATTTTGATAATATCATCTTCAGTATATTTTCTGATAGTTTCAGTGTGGCTCTTCACAAAATAAGAATTATTATAACCCAAAACAAGAAATTTATATCTACGATTCCCATTTTTACAGAAAAAACTCTGTTTAATGAGATGGTGAAGTCGATCTTTCAATTGAGCATGGGAATAGTAGTGTAAAATCCTCATCTGATTGACACCTCTGGTTGAATATATCTCATCGCAATATTTTTGAAGGCCATCTTTTGATGTAAAAAGAATAGTAGTCAGCACTTTAGAAAGATGTTTATTTGAACATCTTGATGATCCAGCTATGTATCGTTCTATATACGGAGTTTTGTGAAGTTTTGGTGATTTTCTTCGTTTTCTTTGATGTTAAAACCAAAAGAAAGAAGGACAGATTTGTGATTTTTTAAAATTTCATCCTTTGTAAATGATATTAAAAAAATGTAGGATTACCAATTTTGCAGTTTTTTCAAAGCTCTTTTGTGAGACATTCCAAGTAATGGTTTTTACATATGAAGACAATATTATTGGAGGCTTTATCCGCTGGAACACCGATATATTTGTCATGCAAAGAGGATAAAGCATCCACAACCTCCGGGTTCTTGAATGGGTTAGAAACCCTTGTGCACATAGTACATCGTAGTTTTTGAATGCGTTTCTAAATGCATGATCGAATAGCTTTGATCCATTCAGACAAAGTGTCCTGTTCTGGTTCATCTGGCTCGCGTTTTACCCATTTTCTGGCATAGTCTCAAAACCTTTCACATATTGTCCTCAACAGCAGTATTTTGCACTAAACGTCATTTTGATACAATTGAAATATAAACAATTACATCTTCTTAAAGTATACTGAATAGATTGAATATAAGAGAAAAAATTGATAGGTTGTAAGTGAAACAAATACAGTGGAAATAGGTTTTTCTTCTTTGACTTTCAACTAGCTTTCCATAACTGAGAGGACTCCTACATCGTGAGTTTGCGTCTTTTGTATTTTTGTTCTTTACTTTTGTGCATAGTACTATATAGTGAGTCAAGTCCTCTAAACCGATTTTTACGGTTTCTTCTTGTGTTGTGCTGTAACACCTCTCCTCCTGGTTAGGGGTGTGTTGAGCGTTCACAAATATGTGTAGAATTCGTATAACAAGCAAGATATCACATCGTAATTTGTACGGTGAGATAGACCTTGAACATCAATTATGAGACGTTAATTAACGAAATGCGCACCTGTTGCAGTAAAATCGGTACCGTTAATAGTATTATAGTCATTTATAAAAAGATAAAAAGTTTTATATGCAAAAATTTAAATGCGTCTTTCGTCGACTTATTAATGTGATTATTAAGATAGAGAAACAAAAGAAACAACGACAAATTGTAAAGGTTCCGATGGTATAGTATCCTTTATGTAATACCTAAAGTCAAACCCATAATTGAATATGATTATACTTAAGAGATTTAAATGCGTGATTTACAAACAAGCATATGCTATGCCCTTGATACATTTAAACAATAAACAATCGCTATTTTCTTTAGTTCCTCTTATCGACAACGAATCTAAGCAATTTCAGGTGTTGGGGTTAAATGGAAAAGTTTTCATGGTTAATTTAAACCCAGATGTTCTAGTCATAGATTTGATCAGGAAATTTAGAAGTCATTTTGCTTTAAATGATGAGGTATATCATAACGTTATATGAAGCAAAATTTATGATATTAAGCAAACTCTACTTTT